CTCGAACTGTCTTTAAGGCCCGCCGTGATTTGCAATCTCCAGCAGTTTTTTTTACTCATTTTGCTAGCTCCTGCGTTTTGTTTTGAAGTAATCGGCCACGTGATGGAGAAGCGTGGTTTGACGTGTGTCAAGCGTGACACAGACGGATGTAACGGAGAATCCGGTAGTTTTTCAAAATAAAACATCTTTCATATTCCGAAATAAATAAAATGGAATTAAGGCAAGTGCTTTCTGTGCGGCCCGGTACCAAATGCCCGGCGGACCGGTACCGGTCCGCGGACCGGCAGTTGGGGACCCCTGGTCTAACGGACTGGAGATTAATGTCAACAGTCTCCACGCCTCATCGCTGTACTTGCCAAATTTTCCCCATGACAAAACCCACAATGTCACCGAAGTGTTTCACAGTGTTTCTAAGAAGATGTTTAAAAGAAAACGTTTTTTTTTGGAACTTAACCCCTGCAATAAACAAAGGATTACTGTACTGTACTCTAGAATCTTTCTTTGTCCCTTATGTATGCAGCTCATGATGATTCTGATCAAAGTGAGTGACATCTCGAATGAAGCCCGCCCCATGGAAGTGGCAGAGCCCTGGCTAGATTGTCTTTTACAGGAGTTCTACAACCAGGTGACTGACTTGTTCTGCATATTGGGGCCAAATATTAAACTTATCTGGCATGACAAACATGTTATTGTGAAACCTACATTTACAATTAAAGTTTAGTTGATTCTGTGTTGTCCGCAGAGTGATGTTGAGAAATTAGAGGGTCTTCCTGTCACCCCTTTCATGGACCGGGACAAGATAACCAAACCCTCATCTCAAACTGGGTTCATCAGATTTGTGCTTTTGCCGCTCTTTAAAGAGCTGGCCAACCTCTTTCCCTGTCTGGAGGTAATAACATTTCAATCAAACATGACACTGAAAATGTTGTACCAATCCTAACCAATTGGTCTTGGGGAATCACCATTAATGTGGTGGCATTTTTTTCATGTAAATCCTGCAGCAACACCTCATAGACCCAGTACGAAAGGCCCTGGACTACTACACTGAGTTGGAGAAAGCCCTGGAGAAAGAGAAACCAAACCGGGCTCCGTGTGAAAATGGATTCAAGAGCAAAGAGATACCAGTGGGCCAGCTGAGTACAGATGAGTGTCAGAACTCTGGGTCTGAAGCCTCAAAAACAAACACACAGTGAACTATCGTGACTAAAATATTCGTACAAAGTAACCCTGTATGTGTCTTTCGACATGGATCCTTCATGTTTGTTTTTAGAGCCACACACGTACACACGAACACACGCACACACATGAGCACGTGTCATTTTGAGTCAACAGCAAGTGGCGAAATGCATTTTATCACTCTTAACATGTATGTTGTGATTGAGAAAAAATGGCTTGACTCGAAATTTGGTGGCAACTTGTCTTGACTCCAGGCGGCCCGGTAGTCGACTGGTTAGCACGTCGGCCCCACAGTGCAGAGGTGCAGGGTTGGATTATGGCTCCGGCCTTCCTGTGTGTAGTTTGCATGTTCTCCCCATGCCTGTGTGGGTTTTCTCTGAGTACTCCTGTTTCCTCTTACATTCCAAAAATGTGCATGGCAGATTAATGGAATACTCTAAATCAGGAGTGTCCAAAGTCGATCCTCAAGGGCCGCCGTCCTGCCTGTTTTCCAGCTCTCCCAGCTGCAACACACCTGATTCAAATAATCAGGATCGTTCCAATGCTGCTTCAGAGCTGGCTAATGATCTCATCACCTGAATCAGGTGTGTTGGGGCCAGGAGAGCTGGAAAACAGGCAGGACAGTGGCCCTCCAGGCCCGGAGCTGGACATGCCTGCGCTAAATTGTCCCTAGGTGTGATTGTGAGTGTGAGTGGTTGTTCATCTATGTGGCCCCTGCGATTGGCTGGCAACCAGTTCAGGCTGTATCCCGCCAAATGCCCAAAGACAGCTAGGACAAGCTCCAGCACTGTTCTATATAAGCAGATTTGAAAATGGATGAATTGATGGAAAATTCAGCCACTAAATTCATCACTTTTTGTGGATCTCAGGGGGCGGCCACCTTGACACTTGTTGACTGAAAATGACATTACTGTTGCTCAAGTAATGACCAATCACGGCTCAGCTCGTCAATGTCACATGAACAAACTCAGAAAACAGACGACCTGTGATTGTTCGTTATCTGAGCTCTGAGTAACTGTGATGTCATTTTTAGTAGACTATGGCAAAATGGCCACCTCGAGATGGATAAAAGCGGGTGGATTTTCCTGCCTAATTCATATTCCACAAACGCAATAATCAGCTGCATAGAACACATTGTTAAAAAACAAAAGGAAGAGGAAGAAGTAGTGTTTTCTTCCCCTTTAATTAAGCGCCTTTCCTCTTGCACAAACCGGAGGCTGGAGTAAGGCTAGTGCGCCACATTGAGTCATTTCAGCAGCTTCAACTGACTTGTGATGATTTTCCATCAACACTACAGGGGGACCACTAGTACCACACAGTTCCAAACCAGATGTATGACAAAAATGGCCTACAAAATAAGGACCAATGTACATCACAGTATTAATTTATTTCATTTTTCAGGATCATTTAAAATAATTTGGCCCACTCGCGGGTGGCCCGTTAGTCGACACTCGACTGCCTCCAGGGGCCTTTGTTTCAAGGGGCCAATCAGTGTGAACAAAGCAACCAGTAAACTTCATTAGGTGCAACCTTCATGGTTAGATATGATGCTCCACACAATGCAGTAAGTACAAATTCTTGCTCTGCTATTAAGTAGAAATATTTGATCTGTTATCAACTATGAGCTGGCAGGCGGGACCACTTGGGATTCACACTGTGTAAGTGATCGAACAGCGTCCACAGATGCAAATTCCCCACCAAGATCAATAATATTTTAGGATTTATTTTTGCCTTAAGCATGACTGTACTGACTGAAAGAAGAGAAGGGGCACTTGTGCGTCAAACTTTTAAACCTTGCCAGCTGTTGCAACAGCTGCTTGTCTGCAAAGTGTATGACACATGTACGTGTTTGTGCTCGTGTGGCTTCTTTTCTCCAGTAATTATATCCCTTAAAGTGGCCTATTGTGGAAAATGTGCTTTTCAGTACCGTACGTTGTATTGTGTGTCTGCCCCACCTTTCAAGTGTGCAATTAAAAAAATCGTGTAAATCTTATGTTGTCTGCCTACTTCTGAAAATGTATCTGTGAATGATCAGTTCAGAATTTGGCTTAATTGTGACATCACAATGGTGGATATACAAAGTAATTTTGACTGAAATGGCTTTGTGCAAGTTTAAATGATGAACATCTTGTGTTCTAGAGGCAATCACCAGAACTTTCCCAAAACCACCAAAATGTTGCTTTCTGTTTTATCCTTTATGTATTTTGAGTCTGAAAAATGTCAGCACTGTAAACCCGAATGTTCAAAATAATTAAATTAAGTACACAATACTCGAAGCTTTACAAAAAGTACTACAGTACTAAATTAACCATGTCAAGTTCGTGGAACTTGCTACTTTTTATGAGTAATTTGTACTGATAATTTTGGAATGAAGTGAACTATACTGTACTATTTGGGGTATGCATAACTTAAAAACATCAATTAAGTCTAACTTAATCAAATTCATGTACCGTATTTTCGGCACTATAAGGCGCACTGAAAAGTCTTCCATTTTCTGAAAAGCTCACAGCACGCCTTGTGTATGGTCATTACGGTAATATGTCGACCCCAAGATGGCTCCTTGCTGGAGACATGCTTACAATGTTCTAACTTGCTGTTGGTTCAGTGAACTGTGTCGCTGCTTTATTAAATAAGTTTTTGTTGCAGCTCTGAAAAGAGGAGAGCTGTGGTGTTTTCTTTAAAAACGCACACTTTATTAATGGTTTTCACAGTCGCAACAAATAGAGGTACATCTTTTTCAGTCTCCGTGCCTACTCTTCTTCCGTTCGACTCGAGAGGCGTTCATAACCGCCTCCGACAAACGTAAAATAACGATTCCTTCAATGAAACTACGAAAATTTAAAATAATGCATCAAAACAGAAAATCAAGCGAGGAAATCACAAAATAAATTCTATAGCCCCCCCTGTTGGAGCTACGCTCAAGGTCTTTGTTTGTGAATACAGTGTACAACAAAGGAATAAATAAACACTTCTGAGACATTCCAGTCTCCTACATTTTACTGACATCTGATCATTCTGTTGGAGCTACGCTCAAGGAAATGCCAAAATAAATTCTGTAGGGGGGGCTATAGAATTTATTTTGCGATTTCCTCGCTTGATTTTCTGTTTTGATGCATTATTTTCAATTTTCGTAGTTTCATTGAAGTAATCGTTAATTTACCTTTTTTGGAGGTGGTTATGAACGCCTCTCGAGTCGGACGGAAGGACCGTAGCTCTATCTAGTGGATGCATTGTAGATTGCGTTTTATAATCAATGCGTCCAACATATGAAAAAAATGACAAAATAGGCCATTCATTGAAGGTGCGCTTTATAATCCAGTGCGCCTTTTAGTGCGGAACATACGGTAAACGGCGCAGGCGAAAAATTTAACTGGTCATATGTGATTGCATTATTTTGTTTTGTGTGTAAGTGTTAGGTTTATGGGTGGCCCCATAGTTGAGTGGTTAGCCCGTGCCTTCACAGTGCAGAGACACCGGGTTCAATTCCAGCTACGCCCTTCCTGTGTGGAATTTGCATGTTCCCCCTGTGCTTGCATGGGTTTTCTCTGGGTCAATTTTTTTTTTTTTTTTTTTTGGTGGGTCTTCATTCCTTTGCCTGTCTTATGTGCTTTATTGGGTTCACATCAGTGGAGTGACATTTTTATTGATTTGCATTCAGTTACGAGTTGCTCTTGGCAGTTAATTGTGGTGAGACTAATGGCAGAATAATCTCCTTGGGGAAGAAAAAAAACACTACATACTGTAATATCAACAGGAGGCATCAATACTCTGGAAAAGGAAGGCATCATTCTTTACCCTGTTGGCCCTGATTGTAGAAAGAATACAATCAGGGCATCGAATGAACAACAAAGAATATGGGACAAATGAACAGTTTGGCTGCATGAAGAATGATAATGAAGGTTAAAGTTGTTATGTTTGTAGAGGAAGATCGCCATCATTTACAAAGTGGCATCTTTCCTCTCAGGGTATCGTAACGCAAAACAAACAGGAAGAATATTTTCCGCTCCTCTCACTTGCTTTGGACAAGCACATGCTTGCACTCCGCCACTGAGTCCTGATTGGGCGAAATGCGGCCAACGCCTTGTAGTGACTAACCAATGGGAGTCGCTTGGAGAGGTCGGCCTTCTTTTCTACCAGCCGCGAAAATCCCGCCTCCTCACAGTCAACTCATACAAAGTAGACTCTCTCTGCTTCAAAGACAAACACGAGACTTGTGAGCGCGAGTGTTGTTTTTTTTCTCTCTCAAAGGCCTTCAGGAGAGAAAAAACAGCTATGGATCCGCTCGTGGGTGCGATTGACCAGGGCACGAGCTCAACGAGGTTTCTGGTAAGTGACGTGGCAGTGTGCGGGACGGCATCGTCATGTTTTGTATTGTGACAACGATCATCCACAACGTGTTAATGCGTCGCGCAGATATTGACAGAAACGTGTGCATATATTTTTATATGTGCGAATGCGTGTATGTTTAAAGGTACTCTATGCGTGTATAGTAAAGTTCAACAACAATTAAATGACTTTGCTTTATTAAAAAAGAATTAAGTCCTGCAAACCTGGACTCACCCCCACTCACCCAGTTTTTAATATGCTTATATTTATATTTTATATATAACTGTATTTCTATACTTTTTGTCTTCTACGTTCTCCCTTTCATAATTTTGCTGCTGTAAATTCGGAATTTCTCCATTGTGAGACAAATAAAGGCTTTCTTAAAAAATATAAATATCAAACAAATACTAATGTAATGATTGAACGGAACCGTTACATGAAACAAGGTGAGAAATAAGGGCTTTCGATCTTTTTTGCAATACGTTCTTTTCCTGATACATGAATTAAATACACTTTACAATAATAATAATAATTATAACACATCAGCATGCAAATTTATAACCAGGGGCGTCACTAGGTTTCAAGAACAAGGGGGGCTTAGCCCCAAGGGGAACACAGCCCCTATAGGGGGGTCCGGGGGCATGCCCCCCCGGGAGAAATTTTTTCGACATTCTGTTAAAAATCCATCAATTCCGTGCACTTTGAGAGCAAAATGAAGAGGCTATGAAGAACTACACACATCACATTAGTATCCTCTTTACTATGATGGGGCTTCCTCCCCTGGACTTTAACTGGACTAGATAATAGAAATTATAAAGAGTTCAAAAGTTCAATCTTGGTTGTTCAAGGGAATTAGAAGGATGCCCGATAACATAACCTATATGACAGTAGTCCTATATTCCTCTCTACCAAAATGTATTAATATATGCTTAGCAGTGGCGGGCCGTGCATTTCAACCTTAGGCCTTCAGTGACGTCACATACATACACAATATAGGCTCGTCAAGCAGAATAAATTTATTTTATATTTATTTATTTTATATCGGCCGAAATCTCAATAGGTGTTGCCTCAAAGAGTTGGTGTAATGATTATTTATGTATTTAATTATAAAATGTTGCTTAATTTTTATTAAGCACCACCTTAATTTATCCAAAAGTGAACACTTGTTACAGTGAGTGCAGTTTCTGCTGTTACTGGAGATATTTTAGCGGACTATAGTCACTAGTTTTACCAGCATGGATGCATTGAATACTTAATTTACCTTTCTAAAAAACTGTCGAATATCCATGCTGTCGACTCAACCTGACTTTCGGCAATGAACTGTCAGTTGTTGCGTTAGCATTTGATGTGGCGATGGTGACAGACACGTCAAATGCTAACGCAACACCTGTTGCGTTCAGGAAACCTGGGAGATTTAACATTTCAATAATGGCAGGTTATCGAAATATAATTTAAAATGGCCACATTACATTGAATTTGATGCAATATATTAGCAAAAGTACAGGAAAAATAAATAGCACTTTTTTTTAAATAATGCAATAAAATTATTTAGGGGGGCTAAAGACATTTTTAGGGAGGCTGAAGCCTCCCTAAAATAGGCCTAATGACGCCCATGTTTATCACACTTGTTGATCATTCCTCCAATGGCTAGCGTGAGGTGCAAGTGTTGTATCAGCTTCACTATGTTTGTCTGAATGATTTTCATTCATTTGATCTGATTTTAAGTGGTGAAATCCTTTCAATTCCTATCAGTTGTGTGCTGCAGTGTGATGCTATCACTTGTCAAAAATTAACTCATCTGTGGAGTTGGAGGTCTTTTTTCTTTTTTTTGGTTTAACCTTTGTGGCCCCCTGTCCTACTTTTTGAATGGGTTAGAACAAGGGTGGGCAAAAGGCGGCCCACGGGCCATATGCGGCCTGTGCCTGCCCTCAAGGTGGCCCTCGAATAATTTTGCAGAATGAAAATATTTCCTGTAGCTGAGTAGTTTTAAGTGGCAAGAACAGTCTTTACCACATCGTTTAAGAACGCCTCCAACCCCAAGACTGTCCTTTTCCACCCAAAAAGGAGAGAGGGCAGTGTCCTGGCTTCTTGCCAGAAAATTACGTGCCAAAACTGTCTTTCAGGTAAAATCGGAAGCAGATTATATATTCACCGAACAAACCTATCTGCCTAGTTTGCCATGAAAAACTTCGTAACGACAACACCAAAATCAAAAGTACACCATTTTTTTTCCCAATAAGAACCACTGACTTGTTTGAAATGCATGAAGAGTGGCTAAATTTGTGTCGTCTCCCAAAACGGGGTATATTCAACGTGTCATAGTCTTGAAAACACATATGGTGGCTTAATTGGACTAGTTGCGACGGATGGCGCACTCGCGAGGCAGAGGGGAAACACCGGGGATTAACTTTACTTCTCTACGGCGCTGTGTTCTAGAGGTGAGTAAGTCAGCCTAGCCACCTTATTCCTAGCCCCCATAAGCCTTTTGCATGAATTATGGATGCGACTAACAGTATGAACCGGAACCAGAGTTTTGTTTACATGGTGACCGTTCCAAAGAGTTTTCTTTCTATGAGAGTTACAGGTTTAAACCATGGCGGAACACCTGTTGTCGCTTCTCAAAAGAGAAAGCATTACGACCCCGTTTCCGACTCATGTAGCGGGGTAGGAGGGTAAGTAGTCTGAGAAAAAATAACAGCGACAATGTCATATTTTCAGCTACTTTCTGAACTGTTTCACTTCGGATGGTGATGTAAGCAATGCCCATCCAGTTATAAAGTTAGTTGCATTTTTGCGTGCACCCAGGCTACGTAGGACAGCTCTAGCCTGAGTGTTGTTGTGGAAACCCAATTCTTTATCCTCTAAGATAAAGTGCAAAAAATGTAAATGTACGTGGAGGCACCTGAAGGCATAAGCGGCTGTTTTGATTTCTTCGAGGTTAAAATCTTAAATCTCTTTGGAATGGATGAAAGGACAGCCGTATATCTGGGCGATAGATGGAATCATAATCCCCCTCCTCTGTTGAGAGATGGTTTCTCAACCTCACCGTAATAGATGGCCTTCATCACTCCTCTGTCAAATTTGTTTTCTATCAGTTTATTTCTCAGTGCACCGATTTTGAAGTGCACCGGAATGTTGTGTTGCTTAAAAATCCTTCAGAATTTCCCACAATGGCCTGATACATACGGAATAACAATGCTGTTGCGTCTCTCACTCTTCCTCCTCATCCATCTTGCGCTTGTTCCGTCTGGAACTGGATGTACTTATGATCTTGTGCTTTGAAGGCCTCACTCATGTGCCTATTATTTCTCTTAGGCCTGTGACCTTGTGGGAATATTCTCAGGCTTGTGTTATACGGTTCTGACAATGCCCGGTTTGTGATCCAGTGGGTGGTGTGAGTCAAAAAGTAGATATTGGTCAGTGTTGATATTTTCATGCAGTAAATATTCGGATTACGGTCAGAATTCTATTTTCTGCAACATTGTTTACATTGAAACTGAAACATTTATTTTTGTGAATGCTAACACTTTGTTTTTCTTCTTTCGACCCCCCAATTTTGCTGCTGTAAACTGTAAATTTCCCCAGTGTGGGACAAATAAAGGATATCTTATCTTATCTTATTTATAATAACCCATTTACATAAGTGAGTGGACAGATTTACTCCCGTGTACATGGTAATGGAGATGATTTGGAATATCTTGACCTGAACATGTGATGTACAAATAACGTCATGATGCAAATCAACATCATTTGCGCTTCTTACTTTCTACTTTTGATAAAACACATTTTTCACTCACCGCAAGAATAAAGCCAGTCGGTTTTCTCCTCGCTCCAAACATGTGGTTCTGTGCTACATCAGTGTTTGTTTATCTCTGCTTGTGTAGTTCCGACGAGTTGCGTGGCAGACGCACAGACTTACATATGCTCACAAATACGGGTGTCTATGTACATTGTGTCATTTTCGCACATAGACAGAAAATAACGTGAAAACGCCGCAGAGAAATCGATGTATTCAAGTTAGGCTCGCTTATCGCGTGACAACGGAAGAGCACTTATCACTATGGCGAGTAAGCAGCATCACTGCGCTTACAAGTACTTCCTGAACTAAAAAAAAACAAAAAAAAAAACGGGGTGGGCATTCCGTCAGTGCTGAGTGAGCCCAGGTCATTCCTACTCCGATGTCAGAATCAAGAGTACCCGAAGGCAACTTAATGTCTTTGAATCTTGTGACTTCAGTGTTTATGTCCACTGCGTTAATGTGCTTGGTGAAGGCTTGCTGATTAAACTTTTTGTCAACCATACATCTATATGAATGACTTGGCGCTGTCCCCGTAAAGTATTTCAGAGGCATCCATTCCATTCCTCCATGTTTAGGTTAGCCACGATGGGGGTGAACCGAAGCGCAAGTGGTATTTTTGCCTCTAAAATGTGGCTCTAAATTGAAAATAATGTAGCCCTGAGACAGTTCCATCTCAAGGCATGTCTGTACTGGTTTGATCGTGTATCTCTGTTCGAGGCTGTGAACATGCTTCACAGTTTTCACTGCATCCTGGGTTGGAATAAATGTGAACAGTGAGTTGACATTGCATTAAATAATATTTTTTATTCTTGCCCAGCTTTAAGTCTTTGACCTTCTAAAGAAACTCCATTGCATTTTGCCTACCAGGGGTGTTGGCCACATTCTTTGAAATATCATAGTGTATTTTTGAAATATCTTAAATACCTGGGAGGGTCTCTTGCGGATATGGGCAATAAGAAAGGTCATAATTGATGGTTTCTAAATGTCTTCTCAGAAAACCATAACAGTGTGGTTGCACTGGATTCATTGCCCTGAGAATTAAGCAAAGAAAGGTCACATGTAGTGTACCCGAAGGGCCTGTTCCTGGGCTGCCTCTACTCAACAGTTCACAGAACATCACGACATGCCTCGTCACACTTATACAGAGTTAAGGACGACACTCAAGTCTATTGTACATCGCAGTGTCACCATACCACCACACCGCCTTGAGCACTGCTGTAAATGAGTATTTGACGATGGTTAAGTAATAATGCAACTGCAAAGTATAGCGTTCATATCGCTACTTATCCTCATGAGGGTCGCCGACATGCTGGAGCCTATGCCAGCTGTCTTTGGGCAGTAGGCGGGGTCCACCTTGAACTGGTTGCCAGCCAGTCGCAGGGCACATACAGACGAACAACCATCCGCGCTCACACTCACACCTAGCGACAATTTAGTGTTCAATCAGCCTGCCATGCATGCTTTTGGAATGTGGGAGGAAATCGGAGTACCCAGAGAAAACCCGCGCAGGCATGGGGAGAACATGCAAACTCTACACGGCGGGGGGGGGGAAATCGAACCCTGAATCCCTCCACTGCGAGGCAGACGTGCTGTCCAGATTCAAACATTTCTCAGAAAAATGGTAGGACTTTTGAGCTAAATCTCTCAATGCTTTCAAATGTACCTAATTACAAAGGATTACTTGACATTATGTTTTAGAACTCTCAATAATAGTGTGCAATTTTCCAACAGTTGCTGATAAATATATACTCCATGATATCTCACACTTGCGACGTATATTTAACCAAAAATGGCTTCTATGACTGAGTAATATCAACCTTACCTTAAATCAATGATGAATTCCTTCACCGAACTGATTCTGTGTGAAAGTTCATGTGATGACACAAGAAGTTAAACTTTAACTTACCTGCATGTTTTTAAACTCATCGCAAGATTTAAGTAACATCTGCAGTCATAAGCAAATCACACACACACACACACACACACACACACACACACACACACACGGTTGCTGCTTTTGGACCGACCACGTCGAAACGGGCCATTGCCCTGATCCAAGTGCGTGCTGACACAGACATTGCGGCTTGCCCTATTAAGATAATTCGATGTGTGGCAGCAATTATTTTTAATGCAAAGCAACAAGGGTAATGAGTCTTGCATGTTAAACTTCAACCGATGGTCACGGTTTGCTGTGTCTTGCTTCTGTTACACTTCTGGCAGTTTCCCAGGTTGACTTTTATTTCAACAAAGTGAGAAAAACGATGAAGAAGCTCACACATAGTCGAGATAAATAAGTATGGCAGGACAAGAACAGAGAGGAATCTTGATTCATGACTTCACCATTGCTCCCAGTATTGTCAACTCAACTAATGGCACAAGGGTGTCGCTGTCATGGGTTTCTCCATTTTTACACTTTGCATTGCAATCTTTGACAAAACCTTTATTGTGGGTCATGTGTCGTCCACATAGTGAATGCTGGCATTCTTTGACGGAATATTATTCTTTCAAGGTGGCTGCAGCAGTTGGAGCTGAACTGTTGGGCTGGCACTGTAGTAGGAGGGGTATCGGATGACCTAAGTAGAACAAATGCTGATTTATAGTATGTCTGGCTGACTGCATTTACATTTCAACTTCTATCTTTGGGAAGGCATACAGTTGATTTCCAGCCCAAATGTGTAATAATTCTATTTTCGGGTTGTTTACACTATCTCATTATATTTGGTTTTTAAACACAGACGCACAAATGATTACTTCAATAATGGCCCTAAATATTTTGCTTCCGTATTTTCCGTATTTTAAATCGCTCCCAAATATAGGACGCACCAGCCATAAAATGTATAATAAAGAAGAAAAAACATGGAAGTCCCACTGGAATATAAGTCGCATTTTGGGGTAAATGTATTTGATAAAATCCAAGACCAAGAACAGACACGTCATCTTGAAAGGCAATTTAAAATAAAACTAAAATGGAGAACAACAGGCTGAATAAGTGTACAATATGCTCACGTTACAACCATCAGTGTCACTCCGAATCACTAAATCCAATGAAATCTTTATCCTAAATGTCACTTTTAAACAAACCCGCCAACTCCGAAGGGAGAAAATGCGGCACTTCATCTCCGATGTCACTTACGTAAGACGCATCGTCGATTTATCAACACAGGCCTAGAGCGCCCTCTTGCGGTTTAATTTGAAAATAACATGGGAGATGATATAATAACGTGTTCATTATTTCACACATACATCGCTCTAAATATAAGTCACACTCCGGGCCAAACTGTGAAAAAAACTGCGACTTATAGTCCGGAAAATACAGTGCTTTCGATTTAGTTTGTGAACACCTTTTTGGTGCCTTTCTCTCTTCTCTCTTTTTCACAGGTGTTCAATGCCAAGACAGCCGAAGTAATCATTCACCACCAAGTCGAAATCAACCAAAGTTTTCCAAAGGAGGGGTACGTCTTAAATCTTCACCATACCTGCTTCATGCAGACCAATTTGTTTAACTGGGTACACAAGCATTACGGAGTGACATCATATCATAGTTAAGCATATTCTTCATCACTTATCAAGAGAATAGTTTACATGTAGTCTTACTGTTGGTGCCAAGCAAAGATTCGTCCTCTCTCCTTTTTGGGTTTTCATGTTCAGTGATTTGGGTATATACTAGGGCTGCACAATATTGGAAGAACATGCAATATGGGTGCTGAATATTGCGAAATCAATAATTAACATATACCAAAAGAAATTACATTTTTATTATCTTATGAGAAAAATATGTGTGTGTGTGTGTGTGTGTGTGTGTGTGTGTGTGTGTGTGTGTGTGTGTGTGTGTGTGTGTGTGTGTGTGTACTCCAGGTTTCCTCCCACATTCCAAAAACATGCATGTCAGACTGATTGAACACTCTAAATTGTCCCAAGGTGTGAGTGTGGGCACTGATTGTTGTTTTTCTCTGTGTGCCCTACGATGGTTTTCGATATATTGTGCAGCCCTATTACCGATGGTGTTTGATGTCAGTATATCACAAAGTAATATTTGAAGGTAAGTTTTGACACATTTTTTTTGCATTCTTAATTAGGTGGGTGGAGGAGGATCCCAGGGAAATCATACAGTCCGTCTACGAATGTATAGAGAAAACATGCAAAAAACTTTGCCATCTCAACATTGATATTGGCAACATTAAAGGTGGGTGAAAATGCCGTCACTACTGTACACCATTCCCCGGTAGAGGATAAATATTAACCACTTTTTGAGAAATAATGAGACTGGGGTGAGTTTGTTATTTACAATGTCATGCTGTTTTCTCAGCGGTGGGTGTGACCAATCAGAGGGAGACAACCCTGGTTTGGGACAAAGTCACTGGAGAACCTCTCTATAATGCCATTGGTGAGTATGGTAGTATGCCTGACATTCTCATTACTTCATGGCTCCCCAAACACAAGACATCATAATCAACTTCACCTGGCTCAAAAACCTCTGCTCTGTTCCTATTAGTAATTACAACTGTATTATATTGGATTGTGGTCTGTTTCTGGATCAAGGTTATTAGCGTTAACAATTAATGACATAAAAACGAGAGTGCTTTTTGAAAAGACAATAAACAGAAACTAAAACTAAATATAATTATCTCAAAAATGTCCTTTTTTTGTCTTTATCAATCAATTTCACGGAAGAGCTTTTGGGGTTGATTTGTGATTAATTTATTTTGGCATTTTAGTCTGGCCATACAAAAGAAAGAAGGTTGAAGAGTCATTTGGGAATTGTACTTTACGTTTACCATTTAATCTTGAATGCCACAAATACAGTAAATATAATAAATACATTTTTCAAAAGTAATACTAAAATTAATGATAATTTTTCCAAACGAATGGAAACAGACCAACCTGTTCTAAAAACTAATTAAAACTAACAGAATTTCAAAGACAAACTTCAAACCACAATAAAAAGTATCTCCAATGAAAAATCCCAAATAATAACCATCTTGATCATGATACCTCATCTCGTACCAGGGAGAAATGGCATCAATTCAAAGCCTAAATGTTGATGTTGACAGATAAACAGAAACGCAAATGGAGAAAAATCTAAAATTAGCTTCTCAAATGTGGAGCATATTTTTCGCATCATGACCCCATTGATCAGAATACTTTGTGCGACGACTGAATGCGCAGATTATTTTGTGGGACAATTTGTATAAATCCATATGCATGTTACGTTGTGGGTTGCGGGGGGATTTAGACACACAAAACACAACAACAAAGAAATCAATAATCTTATCATCAGCATTTATTTGTACATTTCAACTTGTTTTGCTTTGTATGGCAAACACCATTGCCTGACCCAAAAGATTTGCTCTGAACTAGAAAGGAAATTATGTCATCTGGAAAATGGCTCACAAGGTTGCATCATGGAGTGTCAAATATCTTGCTTGCTTAAACTCTTCCATATGGCACTGACGTAATCTCAGAGCAGAGTGTGTTTGTTGCTGTTGGTTGAGAAAAAAGATTGGAAAGAGCTTTCGTCCCCCATATTTCCCATAGAAAACCCACATTGTTTATATTCTCATTGTCTTTACGCTGTAATCATTGATGGTGTATTTGAACCCTTACGGACATCAGATCGATGTTCCCTCGAAGCTGTGCGCATGAGCAATTGCGCGCTGTTCTCACTCTCTCAGCGCACACAGTGACGCTGGCGCGCACCATGCACACACATGACATTTCCACCCCAGTTTGATCTACGCACTGGACACCACACCATTCCCAATTTGCTTTCAGTTTAAGTCACGACACCCGGGTTGCACACTATAGCTTGTGTGAATGCTCTGATCCATGGAAAATTATCGAGACACAATCACATATTTTCTCTCTCTTCACGCTTTAGTTTGGCTCGACCTGCGCACCCAATCTACAGTGGAGAGACTCATCAACAAAGCACCTGGCAAAAACAAGAATCACCTCAAGGTAAGTGTGACAAACTAGGAGCCTAGTATTTGTTTTCTCTAAACATTTCCTTCATGTTTAGTGATGCTAGGCTCGAATTTGTCTTATTTACTCCTGTCAAACATTGATTTCTGAATATTTTCTGGCGACACAGCACAAAACGGGCCTCCCGATCAGCACCTACTTTAGCGCAGTGAAGCTGCGTTGGCTGCTGGACAACGTGGACATGGTGCAACAGGCTGTGCTAACCGGACGCGCTATGTTTGGCACAGTGGACTCCTGGATCATCTGGGTATGACCCCCCC